ATGGTACCTCTCCATCAAATTTTGGTACATATTGTATGGATAGTAGTCATCGTAGGAATTTTAGAGTTCAGCGGTCATTGTTGCGAGCATGATGAAATGAACCTTCGTATCATCTCTCTCATGAGTTTCGTACGCAATAATTTCCTCAGGAGTAACAGTGTTGTGGTCAATCTCCTTCAGCTCCTTGTTGAAAACATACTCTTAGTCCTTGTAAAGGGTGACCATACGAATGTTGCGAATTCAATCATTAAAATTGGATCCATCAAATACCACCCTCCCACACAAGTTCATGAGTGAGAATGAGCCAAAAGGGGTTGAGCCAGAAGCGTTGTTGTTTGAAATAGACATCTGAAAAAGAAAAGAGACAAAGTTTAGATTAGATAAGAATCCCCAGTTTAATACCTAAATGAAAAATTAGGGCTAGGACCCAACACAATTATTTACAATTCAGAAGAGGGATGTCGTTATCTAATTGCAAATAATTTGAAGGTAGGTAAATAACGATTTATCAATTTCCACCACGAAAAATAAAAAAGAATATTATGTTTTATATGAATTGAAATTACTAGATTCTTATGAGATTCATTGAAATTTTCAATGACATGTTTAAATCTCAATTATGCCCTTCAAGTTTGTAACTGGGACACCGAGGATCACAAATAAGGTGTGTATAACCATGCAAATGTGCTTGGTACTCTCGATGTTATTTATCACCTAATCAATGTGACGTTTATCCACACAAGCTCCATTGATCTATGATAAACATCGAGCTACCATTTGCCACCTTTCTTAGTCCCAAATTAGTGTGTCGGTTAACCACACACGCTCCACTAACGACTTGGCAAGGTGCACGGTGCAATTTAATAGAATAACATACATTTTCACATTTTTCCTAAAATAACCAAGATTGATAATTTTATAAAAACATTTAGTTACTTTATATAATCATTATACTTATTAATGATGTATTAGTTGTCCTATCCTACCCGTTCAGCTAATGACCATCCACTAATTAAAGAAGTGGTGGGTGAGAGTGGACACCCATTCAACCACCATTTTATAGACAGTTTCCTTATCCCCCCTTATAGACCGGCTTCGTGAATGAGACCTACTAACGGTACGACTTACTCATCATATATATATATATATATATATATATATATATATATATATATATATATATATATTATATATATATATATATATATATATATAATTATTAATATTTTAATATTATAATAGTATAATGGTGGAATTTTAAACTTTTAAAATTCTAGGGTTTAGATTTTAAATCATTCAAAATTAAATCTTTTAAATTAAAATTTAAATTGTAACGTCCCAAATATCACGACTAAAATTTTCTTTTTAAAACATTACTAAAACCATATTTATAAAAACCGTATCATAAGTCATAACATAATTTCATAGCATTAATTCGAAATACAAACTTATTATCAGAGTAAAACATCCCAGGCTAGCTGACTATGGTGTGTGCACTGCAATCTTTCCGAGCTCCTCTTTTGAAAACTGAGTACCTGAAACCAAAAACTGAAACTGTAAACACAAAGCTTAGTGAGCTCCCCCAAACTACCACATACCATACAATAACCTATAAAGCACATACTGGGCCTTGCCCCTTGCATCAGACCGAGGTCCGGACTAACTGGGGCCTTGCCCCCTGCATCGGACCGAAGTCCGGAAACTGACTGGGACCTTGTCCCCTGCATCGGACCGAAGTCCGGACTAACTGGGGCCTTGCCCCCTGCATCGGATCGAAGTTCGGAAACTGACTGAACATAACATAGCATAACATATCAACTAGCATGAACACATATACTGTATACTGCATCGGGCCGTAGCCCGGGAGACATAACACATAACACATAAATTCTGTCTGAGCCACGAAGGCATCAAACATACTAACTACTGCATCGGACCGAAGTCCGGAAACTACTGCTAACTGAACGGGCCGACATTGTGGCCTTAGACCCGTTCCTACTGGAAGGAAACTCACCTGAACTGCTGAATTCTGCTGGTAACCCTCGGACTGCTAACCAACCACCATCTGAAACGTTGCTCCTCTAACTCTCCAAGCTACCAATAACAAAGCGACACTTAGCCTGACAGTCCTCTAAAAGTCAACTAACTCAACTCCGATCAAAGTCAAAGTCCTGGACAAAGTTAACCTTCCATGTTGACCCTACTCGCCGAGTCAGTCTACTGACTCGCCGAGTTCACTGATTTCCGAGTTATGTCCTGTCCAACTCACTGAGTCCCCACTCAACTCACTAATCTGAGCCTTGAGTCGAAGGGTTTGGGGTTTCGCGACTTGACTCGCTGAGTCCAAGAACAGACTCGCTGAGTCCCAGGCAATCTTCAACAGACTCGCCGAGTTGTTCATCCAACTCGTCGAGTTCGCCTCCATCTTCATACTACTCGCCGAGTCCACTCAAAGGACTCGCCGAGTCTATTCACTCCTTAAACCATGCAGTGGCTTTTCGAGCCAAACAGGGCTTCCAACTCATAGATCCATACTTCTAAGGCCTATCCCTCACGTAAAGTGGCAAACTTTACGTGTAGATAAAGAGATTTAGGCTTAAAACAATCCAAACTAAGTTTTAAGACAAAGAGGCTTCACTATCAACCCAAGAACAGATGCTTTATGACTTTCTAGGCCAAGATACACTCAAACCTGAAGTAGCAACTTCAGATCTGGGCTTCTAACTCGAAATAGTTCTTAAGCATGGCGTAAAAGCCCCAAATCTCATAGCCAAGGATGATCTATTAAACAAAAGAGGGAAGGTAACGATTTATTACCTTTAAATGCTCAGAAATGTTCCACCAACTCTGGATCCAAGGCCCCCTTCTTGCTCCACTATGACTATCTTCTCTCTCAAGCTCCAAAAAGCTTCACCAAGGGTAGATCTTGCTCCAAAACGATTATGGCGGCTAGGGTTTAGTGTTCTGTGTTAGAGAGGCAGTAAAGGAACCCTAGGGGAGAGAATGAGACGTTTAAATAGGCTCCAAATCCCGGATTTAGGGTTTTCCTCGCTCAGACCAGACTCGCCGAGTCACCTTGGCCGACTCGCCGAGTCGGTCGCTTACTCCTCGACCTGGATCCCGCTCGGACTCGCCGAGTACCTCCTTGGACTCGCCGAGTCTCCCCTTAAAATTGGGGTTTTCTTTCTTTTCTTGGCTTTCCAAACTTTGGGTGTTACATAAATTCCAAAACTTGAGGGCAAATTTTGAAACTTTTCAAAATATCTTTTAGATCAGATTTGAAAAATAATTAAATAATCATATAATCAATATTTATCACAAAATTTGACCTAATCTTTCAATATGGCAAGATAATTCAAATCAAGAATACAAATAATTAATTTTATCATATAAACATGTAATTATCTTATTAATTGACAATTATCTTCTAATATTATTAAGATATCAATTACCATAATAAAAAATCGAAATTTTCTATTGACAAAATAATATATGGTAATTATCTAAATCAAATTAGGGCAAAAAATCGAAAATCCAATCTGACCCGCTACCACATCGTGGCAAGATATGCCACGTCGTGGTCAGCAAGTAAATGCAAAAAATCGAAAAACTTTTTCTTTGAATGATTAAGCATAGCATCAAATACAATAGAAAAACAACCTAGGCTCTGATACCACTGACCTGTTTTGAGCATAACAACAATCATATGGTGAACATGCAAACCCTAAAGCATTGGATATAGCTTTTCTAATTGTACATGCAATAATCATCCAAAACTTGTAAACCCTATGTCTATTATACAAAAATTGAAAATCATAACAAAAAACAAAGTTAGGATGTTACCTTTCAGTTGTAGCTTAGTCTTTAACCTTTGAGAGCTTTAGTATCACAAGTGTAATATCTCTAATCGATCACAAATACCCAAAAAAGTTGGAGAATATGAGAGAGAGAGAGAGGAGGAGGAGGAGGATCAAAATCGGCTCTAAGATCTTTATAGGCTTTCTGGTAGCCGATTTGAGGTGCCCAAGGGTTCCTTATATAGCTGAAGAATTAGGGTTTCGGTCAAAGACCTAATCCGGTTGCTTAGGCTCTAAGTAGCTTGTAAGATCCTTCGAGAACTTTACCCTTGGACGAAATCCTTATGGGCTTCCATAAGATGTCGTCAATCTCTTGTCTAAGAGATCCTTAACCTATCTTGCAACTATCTTATAATTACAATATCAGTCCTCTAATTTCAGTTAATATCTTTTGACCACAAAATTAGTTCTAAATTAATTCTTTACCAGTATTAATAAAATAATATGATTTCTCTTTTAATATATTATTCAAATAATATATTAATAAATCATAATCAACCTCTTTCTCCAAGATTCATACAGTTATGTTGCTTTGGTGAAGGCAGCCCAAAAGGACCATGCTACTATCGGGTCAAGTACATACCAATTATAGTTACAGGCTTAGACACCTAATCCAACACGTACGCCAGCTCACAACTTTGTGTGGGGATCAAGAAGTACTCTCTCGTATGGCGTTGGCCGTCGGGGGTAGCTAACCCTCTTGTCTGTTTCGTCACGACCTAGCCTCCTCGTTGGCTTTATTGGCTCTTGAGCCTAGCAGGTTAGTATCATCCATCTGTGTTTCATTTGATGGTTCAAGTCAATGGCCGCTTTGTTATGAATGTATTTCATTGTCTAGTCACATTACAAAGGACCGTTATGGGGTACGCCATCAAGCCCCCTATTCTGGCAGTGATGAAGCAGCGTAGCGAGTCATCATGTGCTGGACTTATAGACGCATGTGTTGCTTTCTCACTTGTCGAGCAGTTATTGCCTCTAGTGAACTGTCCTGCTTTTTCTAGGCATTTGATTTGCCATGATTTCTATCCATAAATACCCACCTTCCTCTTTATACGCACTCTTCTTCTTCTCAGTTTCCTTCTTCTTCCCCCGTTCTTCACCTTTCAGAGAAGACGACTCTCCCTGTTAGCATGATTTCTTCCCATGATGTTATCCCAACTTCTGAGTATGATGAGACACTTCGAGAGAAGTACGGCTTTCAGTCGGATGATGGAATACTTGTTTCATTGGACAAAGCCTCCTTTCTGGAACCTCCTCGGAAAAGTAGGAATTTATGTTAGGACCTTTTATGCTGGTTACCGACTTCCAACCACTGATTTTCTCACTGAGGTGCTTTGCAAGAATGTGGTAAATGTTTAAGACCTTACCCCTAATGTCGTAAACAAGGTTATTGTTTTCGAGATGTTGTGTCGATCACTAGGTTTTCTCCCAAGCCTCCCAGTGTTTAAGAACTTCTTTCATTTTTTCTATTGCTAGTGAAAAGTTTACTTTCTACACCGGGAAGAATGCTCGCGTCCTTGTTCCTGACGGGAAAAGCAGCCTGGAGAACTGGAAAAATCATTGGTCATGGGTGAATAGTTATCGGTTGGAGGTCCCTATGTTCGAACTTAAGCGACTTCTGATAGAGCCCCCAAGTTACTTGGTCGGGATCAAGAAATTGTTTGTCTTCTGGAAGGTTTCACTGTTGTTCCCGAGGAGTTCCCTGAATGCATTCTTGCTGGTATGGGGATGAGCACCGAGAGGCGGCGTCCTCAAGAGCATCCTAAGTTCTTTGTCACTGATGGGAGTAAGATTTTCCATTTTTTGACTTTCTCCATACTCCCCCTTTTTTTAAGAACATAAAAAGGGGATGATTATCTTTCAGGGGAGAGAAAAGTGTTACCTTTTTCTGATGTGCTCGGGTGGAAGTTCCAAGGGGATTTACTATTTAAAATAGTATCTCTTTGTAAAAACCTTGCTCCTCCCCGTTATAAATATGCACAAGGATTTGCTATTCTTGCTGTCTTGATGCCTTCACGCTCGACCACTATCGGCGAGACACCTTCGCTTGGCAACCCGCTTGGCGCGCCCCTTGTCGTGATTTCTCCTCCCATACCTTCTAAGAGTTTGGAGCATGTGGAAGATAACAAATAGGGGATTTTGGTGGGTGTGACATTGCGCATGACTAGGAAAATAGGACTTCTGAGCCTTGCAATTCTTTCAGATGTGGCCAAAGGAAAGACCGTTGCCGACTGTTGTCGTCGATGCAAGCTTGCCACCAACTTTATTGCAACTCTGATGCCCTCTAACGAAGAGGTAATAAGTATCCTTGATGATGATATGCACCAATTTGAAGGTATATCATGCATGCCTAAGCAGCCCATCATAAACAAAGATCCAGCGCGGACTAGCCTAGCAGAACCACCTTCAATCCATAGGGTATGAGGTTAGATTCCTTTATTTGTCAAAGACAGTCGGGGATTGTTGACTCGGTGTGGTAGAGTTTGGGCACCAAGTACTGGTGGGGAGAGATAGACCGTTCTAGAAGAGGATCATAAGTTAAAATTTTCGACTCATCCAAGGGCCACGAAGATGTATCGGGATCTGAAGCTAAGTTATTGGTAGCCCTGTATGAAGAGAGATATAGCACGATTTTTTGAGTGGTGCCTAACTTATAGGAAAGTCAAGGCCGAACATCAGAGACCCCATGACAAGATACAACCCTTACCCATTCCTATGTGGAAGTGGGAAGAGATTACCACAGATTTCATCACAATGTTGCCAAGGAAGACATAGGGATTTGATTCTATATGGTTCTGATAGTTAGTTTTGTTTACTTCTTTTAATAGTTTATTTTAGCATATTTCATTCATAATTTAAATAATTTCCATGCATATTTTCCTTTTTGTTATTTTATGATTATTTCAGGTACTTTCGAATCTTGTGAGCATAATTGCAGGTTTTCGGGTCTAGCGGAGCGGGAGTGTTCAGGACGTATGGGAAGCGATGGGATTTGGTAGACAAAAAGGATGTTAGGCTTGATGATTGTGGAGATGATTCATGGAGCGAGCTTGATGATTATTGGAAGGCTTGGAGAGAAATAAATTTTAAATTTTCAAGATGCGGGAGTTTATTCAAGCGTGCGTAGATTGTTAATTGGTAGAGTGCACGAGTTTTGGAGGATTTGGAGAGGTCAAATTGGGCTTAAAATGAAGAAAAACTTGAAGAAAATGGGCTAGGAGGTGATTGGATTCGATCTGGGCCAAGTGGGCTAAGCTATGGAGGCCCAAAACCTCAAAGATGCTACATACAGGGACCACCAGCGCAACCCACCCGCGCAACAGCACGCGCGTCGCGCAACCCCCTGTAGGGGCATTTACGGGAATTCATGTTTTAAGCTATATGGGGAAGGTTGGTGCCTATCTTTTTCATACTCTTCGACATCCGATTTTTGAAGACTCTCTCTGGAGTTTTGAAGACTTTTGAAGGCCAAGAACACCTCAAGAACATCATCTTTTTACCTCTTGATTCTTGCTTAATGTTTGGTATAATCTTCTCTAACTTTGTTTCTTTGAGTTTACCCATGCTTGGCTAAACTAATCTTGGTTGAATTTTGTTGAATCCTTTGAACTTTTGTTGAATGTTGAAGAATCCATGAACTTGTTCTTAAATCTGTATGGAAATGTTTTGTGTTTTATCATATTATCACTACTAGTATGTTTTTAGTTCATGAGTTTAAATCTGTTTGTGGTGATTAGTTGGCTAATTTCTTGATTAAGTAAATGATCCTCAAATTAGCAAGCAACAAATGATTTTTATGTTGTTTTTGCTTCACACAATCATAAAAACATTTCTTCCAACATGTGGTGAAAGCATTTGACCCCTCTTGGATTTGGTGACTTTTTGGTTCTTAATGCTAGTTGACTTTCACTAATTACATGCTTAATGGAAATTGTGACTTTAACTAAGGAAATTGTTATGAGCTTCTCTAACCATTTTAACAACTAGGAAAAGTCTAGGTAATCTCAAGCTTCTTGGATTACTATAGCCAAATTGAGGATTTAAAACAAGTATTGCACCATTGAATTCTAATGATATGTTCATCAAAAGTCAAAGTGAGGAAACCTTAAGTCAACCATCCTTTTCTTATTGATTTACATTAAATCTTGTTTTTTTTTTAAATTGTCAATTTAAATAATAGTTTAATTCTAGTTTGTTTCAAGTACTTCAAAACACCAAAAACCCCCCAATTTTAATTTATTGTCATTTAGCAAGTATTTTTACAAAGAGATCTTTCATAGAGTTATAAATTGAACCAATCTCCGTGGATTCGATCCCTTTACCACTATACACTATTTTAGTGTGTAATATTTAGGGTATTAATTTTGTTGGCCTCGACAACCACCAGGTTCATTATTGATAGATTGACCAAGAGTGCACATTTCATACTGATTGCTAAGAGCATATATGTTGAGAAGTTAGCTGACATTTATGTTCGGGATGTGGTAGTTCGACACGGGGTACCAGTTTGGGTGGTTTTGGACCGGGATGTTCATTTCACCTCCAAGTTTTGGAGAAAGTTTCATGAGGAATTGGGTACTTAGCTTCATTTTAGTATATCATACCACCCCCAGACTGATGGCCAAAGCGAGCGAATGATTCAGACGATTGAAGATATGCTCCGAGCTTGTGTACTAGATTTTGGAGGGAGTTGGGATACTTACCTTCCACTGTACGAGTTCTCTTATAACAACAATTATCATGACAGTATTGACCGATCACCATTTGAGATGTTGTATGGAAGGAGGTGCAGGATCCCAGTTTGTTAGGAGGAGGTTGAACAACGGGTCATAGGGAGTACTGAGGTTGTACTCAAGAACACTGAGTTGATTCAGCAGGTACGCGACAGCTTACGAATCACACAGATCCGACATAAGAGTATGCAGATCAGCGACGTTCAAATCTCAAGTTTCTGGTATGAGATTTGGTGTTTCTGAAGGTGCCACCTTGGAAAGGTGTCATTTGATTTCGGAAACGGGGAAAACTGGGCCCTAGATTCATTGGACCTTTCAATATATCCTCCCGGGTGGCCAAGGTTGCATACCGGCTAGATTTTCCTGATGAGCTCAACCAAATCCACAATACCTTCCATGTCTCTCAGCTTTGAAAGTATGTGGTTGATGACTCCGTGGTTGTCCCCTTGGATGATATTCAGGTTGATGATAGACTTAATTATATCGAGAGACCAGTGGTGATCTTGGATAGGAAGAAGAAGGCCTTGTGCAACAAAGTGGTTTCTTTGGTCAAGGTCCAATGACAACATCAAAAGGGTTCAAAATGGACCTGGGAGCTCGAGGCGGAGATGCGTGAGCATTACCCTGATTTATTCACGACATCGGACTTCGAGGACGAAATCTAGTTCAAGTGGGGGAGAGTTGTAACATCTTGTTCTTCCAGGTATTTACCTTTTTTCCCTTATTATATGATTGTTTGCAAAGTGGCCCTTCATGGAATTTTTGCATTTTTTGGAGAAATATGGGTACGTTGGGCGTACCTGGTCTCGCGTGAGTACATTGGGCGTACATTGGTACACAAGCCGTACGTGACTTGGACCAAACCATAATATTTAGGGGTTTTGTACTATTTAAACACCCTAATATCCCCAAAACCCTTCCTCTTATCAGCCTCCATCCCTCATATCAACCCCCTTGCAAACCCGAACCTATTTTGAGCATTTTGAGCTTTTGAGTGAGTTGTGGGCATTTTTTTCTGAAGGAAGATCATTAAAGAAGTGGTTTTTCTCTCAAGTCCTTGGATCCAACATTTTCTCTTCATAGTGCAACTTTTGGAGGCATAAAGCATCAACCTTGATGCATGTTTCTCTAGATCTTGGTTAAGCTTAGAATTTTACCCCCTTTTATCCCAAAACCTAGGTCTGTGTGAGTATGAGGTACTCCAAAGCCTTTAATCTTTCCTTTCATACATTTTAGGGTATTTTAAGTCATAAAAATACAAGCTTGGATCTTGGTTTGTCCCCATGCAAAAGTTGTGGTGTGGCAAATGATTAAATAAGTTAGGTTTTTAGTGTTGGGCTCCTTGTAGCCATGCAAAGGCATAAAGTTTGCAAATTTATGGCCTTCGAGGTTTTAATAAACTCATATATGAAGTTTGAACGAAAGGTCTTAAGCCATTAAGACCGTAATGAGAATTTTGATCCAAGGTGCATCCATCGAGCGTAAAGTTATGTACGCTGCGTGTACTAGACCTCGACCCAGATATCCCTCTTGCATGAGTCCTTTGTACACGTAGTGTATGACTCAGTTGCAGCTTTTAGGCCATTCTTTAAGGCCTTGGACCATTAGGTGTTAGGCTTTTTACATTCGGCCGAATGAGAAGGGAAAAATGACCTTTTTGCCCCTAATTATGGTAATGGAATCATTGGACCATTAATTATGGGTTAAAACTCAGATTATTGATTAGGGTTATTTTGGGATATAATTATTCTGAGGAGCCGTGTTAGCAGCAGCTTGAGTGTGTGGCTTTGTTATCTTTTTTTGGAAGTGAGTTTTCTCAATATGTTTATGGGTCGAAGGCACCAATGTCGACCAATTACCTTGTTATGTAGAGTGCAAGTTGTCTCCGTGATACTTGCATGAAAGACCATGGTCTAACCCCTGACAACTATATGAAAAACAAGGATCTTGCCCTAACACTTGTATATAAGACCAGGATTTGGGCCTCGACATTACAAGAAAAGACCATGATTTGGCCCATGGCACTGTAAGACTATGATTTGACCGATAACATTTATTATCTTATGTGTGGTATGTGGTACTTTGGGGAACTTACTAAGCTCTTGCTTATCGTTTTTGTTTATGGTTTCAGGTACTCTGGTTCGAAAGGGAATGGCCCGACGTGCTGGCACACCATCATTCTCTCATGATTTTCGCGTTTTTAATAATTGTACTATGATGTTTTGAATATTATAATTGGGTGTTTGATTTTGAACAATTTATGAATTAATTGATAAACTTCCAAATAAAAAAATAATTATCATTATTTTTGGGAAGTTATGTGACCGATGTTGGATATGAATTATGTCATCCGTAGTGTTTTTAATATTTTGAAGCAATAATGTTATATCATAAAAACGT